GTGGTGGTGATAATGGTGGTGTGGTAGTGAGGGAGGCAGTGTTTAGTGCTGGTGGTGGTGATAATGGTGGTGTGGTAGTGAGGGAGGCAGTGTTGGTGCTGGTGGTGGTCATAATGGTGGTGTGGTAGTGAGGGAGGCAGTGTTAGTGCTGGTGGTGGTGATAATGGTGGTGTGGTAGTGAGGGAGGCAGTGTTGGTGGTGGTGGTGGTGGTGATAATGGTGGTGTGGTAGTGAGGGAGGCAGTGTTGGTGGTGATAATGGTGGTGTGGTAGTGAGGGAGGCAGTGATGGTGGTGTTGGTGGTGATAATGGCGGTGTGGCAGTGAGGGAGGAAGTGTTGGTGGTGGTAGTGGTGTTAATGGTGGTGTGGTAGTGAGGAAGGCAGTGTTGGTGGTGGTGGTGGTGATAATGATGGTGCGGTAGGGAGGCAAGCAGTGTTGGTCGTGGTTGTGGTGATAATGGTGGTGTGGTAGTGAGGGAGGCAGTGTTGGTGTGGTGGGGGATAATGGTGGTGTGGTAGTGAGGGAGGCAGTGTTGGTGCTGGTGGTGGTGATAATTAAGGTGTGGTAGTGAGGGAGGCAGTGTTGGTTGGTGATAGTGGTGGTGTGGTAGTGAGGGAAGCAGTGTTGTGGTGATAATGGTGGTGTGGTAGTGAGGGAGGCAGTGCTGGTCGTGATAATGGTGGTGGGGCAGTGAGGGAGGCAGTGTTGGTGGTGGTGATAATGGTGGTGTGGTAGTGAGGGAAGCAGTGTTGGTGCTGGTGGTGGTGATAATGGTGGTGTGGTAGTGTTGGTGGTGGTTGTGGTGATATGGTGGTGTGGGTAGTGAGGGAGGCAGTGTTGGAGCTGGTGGTGACGATAATGGTGGTGTGGTAGTGAGGGAGACAGTCTTGGCGCTGGTGGTGGTGAGAATGGTGGTGTGGCAGTGAGGGAGGCTGTGCTGGTGGTGGTGATAATGGTGGTGTGGTAGTGAGGGAGGCAGTGTTGGTGCTGGTGGTGGTGATAATGGTGGTGTGGCAGTGAGGGAGGCAGTGTTGGTGGAGGTGGTGGTGATAATGGTGGTGTGTTAGTGAGGAAGGCAGTGTTGGTGCTAGTGGTGGTGATAATGGAGGTGTGGTAGTGAGGGAGGTAGTGATGGTGGTGATAATGGTGGTGTGGTAGTGAGAGGCAGTGTTGGTGGAGGTGATAATGGTGGTGTGGTAGTGAGGGAGCAGTGTTCGCGCTGTGGTGGTTATGATGGTGTGGTAGTGAGGGAGGCAGTGTTGGCGCTAGTGGTGGCGATAATGGTGTGTGGTAGTGAGGGAGGCAGTTGTTGGCGCTGGTGGTGGCGATAATGATTGTGTGGTAGTGAGGGAGGCAGTGTTGGTGGTGGTGGTGGTGATGATAATGGTGGTGTGGTAGTGAGGGAGGCAGTGTTGGCGTGGTGGTGGCGATAATGGTGGTGTGATAGTGAGGGAGGCAGTGTTGGTGGTGGTAGCGATGATAATGGTGGTTGTGGTAGTGAGGGAGGCAGTGTTGGTGGTGGTGGTGATGATAATGGTGGTGTGGTAATGAGGGAGGCAGTGTTGGTGGGGGTGGTGGTGATAATTGTGGTGTGGTAGTGAGGGAGGCAGTGTTGGTTGTGGTGGTGATGATAATGGTGGTGTGGTAGTGAGGGAGGCAGTGTTGCTGGTGGTGGTGGTGATAATGGTGGTGTTGTAGTGAGGGAGGCAGTGTTGGCGCTGGTGGTGGCGATAATGGTGGTGTGAAAGTGAGGGAGGCAGTGGTGGTGGTGATGATAATGGTGTGTGTGGTAGTGAGGGAGGCAGTGTTGCTGGTGGTGGTGGTGATAATGGTGGTGTTGTAGTGAGGGAGGCAGTGTTGGTGCTGGTGTGGTGATAATGGTGATGTGGCAGTGAGGGAGGCAGTGTTGTTGCTAGTGGTGGTGGTGATAATGGTGGTGTTGTAGTGAGGGAGGCAGTGTTGGCGCTGGTGGTGGTGGTGATAATGGTGGTGTTGTAGTGAGGGAGGCAGTGTTGGTGCTGCTAGTGGGTGATAATGGTGGTGTGATAGTGAGGGAGGCAGTGTTGGTGTGCTAGTGGTGATAATGGTGGTGTGGCAGCGAGGGAGGCAGTGTTGGTGCTGCTAGTGGTGAAATGGTGGTGTGGTAGTGAGGGAGGCAGTGTTGGTGCTGCTAGTGGTGATAATGGTGGTGTGGTAGTGAGGGAGGCAGTGTTGGTGCTGCTAGTGGTGATAATGGTGGTGTGGTAGTGAGGGAGGCAGTGTTGGTGCTGCTAGTGGTGATAATGGTGGTGTGGTAGTGAGGGAGGCAGTGTTGGTGCTGGTGGTGGTGATAATTGTGGTGTGGTAGTGAGGGAGGCAGTGTTGGTGGTGGTGGTGGTGATAATGGTGGTGTGGTAGTGAGTTAAGTTTAATATGTTTATTATGCACCCCATACCCATCCTGTGGGCGGTAGTCAAAAGATTACAGAGGTACATAATGGGTCCAGGGACTGGGCCTCAAAGTTTTGATAGCTGAGCAAGTTACAGAGGTAATGAATTCACAATTTACAAAGGTAATGAACTCACAATTTACAAAGGTAATGAACTCCAGGTAGGTCTAGTCACAATCATGACAAGTTACAAAGGTATTTACAGATTACAGAGGTACACAATGGGTCCAGGGACCGGGCTCCAAAGTTTTGATGGCTGAACTAGGTACAAGGTAATGAACTCACAAGTTACAAAGGTAATGAACTCACAAGTTACAAAGGTAATGAATACTGTAAGAATGGTTACTTACGTTTATACATGGCTGCAATCATGAACAAATTTTAGAGTAATGAGCAATTCACACTTCCGCACCCGGTCACAACTGTAGTGAGTTATTGGTGCAAATGTTGATTGCTGAGTCTCTCTCTCTCTCTCACACACACACACACACACATACAAATTCATACACACACACACATAAACACACACACACACACACACACACACACACACACAACAAACTCATACACACACACACACACACACTCACACACACACACACACTCATACACACACACACACTCATACACACACACACACTCATACTCACACACACACACACACACACACACACACACACACACACACACACACACACATGCACATATGTGGTAATGCTTTATTTACAGCTAGCAAAGTCAGGGTATTTCTCCAGAATGGTCTGTAATATACCACTGTGGATAAAATACTTAGCCATTTCTTGAACACTTCTGAGTGAGTTGTTTCTAAATTCATTAATTTTATCACAATCCAGTACATAATGACGCAGGGTGTGACAATAATCCATCTGGCAAAGTTTACATTTCGTTTGGTCTACATCTGGTTGTGGTGATTTAACCTGCCAAAGATACTTGTAACCCAGCCGGAGCCGTGTGGTAGTGAGGGAGGCAGTGTTGGCCCTTCTGGTCTTGATAATGGTGGTGTGGGAGTGAGGGAGGCAGTGTTGGCCCTTCTGGTCTTGATAATGGTGGTGTGGGAGTGAGGGAGGCAGTGTTGGCGCTGCTGGTGGTAATAATGGTGGTGTGGTAGTGAGGGAGGCAGTGTTGGTGGTGGTGGTGGTGATGTTGGGGGTGGTGGTGGTGATAATGGTGGTGTGGTAGTGAGGGAGGCAGTGTTGGTGGTGGTGGTGGTGGTGATGCTGGAGGTGGTGGTGGTGATAATGGTGGTGTGGTAGTGAGGGAGGCAGTGTTGGTGGTGGTGGTGGTGGTGGTGGTGATGATGTTGGAGATGGTGGTTGTGATAATGGTGGTGTTGTAGTGAGGGAGGCAGTGTTAGTGGTGGTGTGGTGATGCTGGAGGTGGTGGTGGTGATAATGGTGGTGTGGCAGTGAGGGAGGCAGTGTTGGTGGTGGTGGTGGTGATGTTGGAGGTGGTGGTTGTGATAATGGTGGTGTGGTAGTGAGGGAGGCAGTGTTGGCGCAAAAATATATATTTATACATAAGTTTTACATACACTGATACACACACACACACACATACCTAAACATGGAAAAGTGTACATACGTGTAAACATATGAACATGTACAGACCCATGCATACATAAAAAAAACATGCCCAAAAATACGTACATTCTCATACATAAACATATGCTCCCATGCATATATAAATTTATGAAAATACCTTCATATGTTCACACATTTACACAAGTGTATATATATTCACATGTACACATATATATACATAGGCACTCGTAGTTATATACACGTACATATGAATAAGTATACATTTAAAGATATATACATATGCAAACAACTACAAAATTACATGTACTGCATATATATGAACGTGCACATACGTACAGAAATTCGTACGCACAAACATATAAACACTCATACATGTTTTTATATTGGAATGTTATGATGACTCACCATTATTGCTTTTGCATGTAGGTAGAGGAGGCTGAGCTTATGAAATACGGGGATACCTCTCTTGTATTACCCAGCCACTGAAACACATTTAGTTACTCGAAGTAGTAGTAGTTTTGTCGTCAGAAATGTTCGGTATTATGCCTTAAATACACAGTTTTTGCTGGGGTCTCGTGAGAGGTAACAGCGTGGGTGACCGGCAACATGGCGGACGCTCACATGTAAACATACCATCCCTAGTACTTCCACTAGGTATATAGGAATATACTAAGAAAAAATATGTCACATGAAGGCACAATATACACTTCATTCAGATTTAAAAGAAATTTTCGAAATTGTTGGATTAACTTTAGTTAAATCTTCATAATTAATGAGCATTGTATGGTTATAACAATCACATACTTAATACAATAACTGTTATAAAAAGTAGGCTATTGTTTTTATAATCGGAAATCTATGTAAATATGTTTAACTTAAATACAGCCTATATAACGTTCTGCTACAAGTTTACATACCTTCCCCTTCTAAAAACTAAATCAAAGAACATTCCATTTCCGTTCACGGAGTACAGTGATTTCCAGTGATTTAGATACCTGGTTGTTAAGTTGGGCGAGTTGTGGCGCATGCGCGCAATCTTGGTTCACTTTCACACAGTGATGGCGGGCGGCGCCTCTATATGAGGCAGCAACGGTAGTCAACCTCTCACATCTCCCTCGCCACCTGCCATGAAGCTTCTTACGGTACGTTGTCGTCTTGTAACTTACAGAGACTCCCATAGTGTGTGTGTACGTGGCGTCACAGTGAGCATCCGTCATATTGACGGTCAATCGTACGCCAGTGATGGACGGCACAGCTGTTTATTGGTATAAATTTAGTAAAAAAATAATGTTTATACACGCACTCATGTATTAAATTTTATTTGTAATGTGCTCACGGTATATAACGTGTAACAAGACACTACGTAGCGCCAAATAGGCTAGTTTGTGCACCCACAGCTCATGCTGTTAGGTTATTGTGCACCCACAGCTCATGCTTTTAGGTTATTGTGCACCCACAGCTCATGCTGTTAGGTTATTGTGCACCCACAGCTCATGCTTTTAGGTTATTGTGCACCCAGCTCATGCTTTTAGGTTATTGTGCACCCAGCTCATGCTTTTAGGTTATTGTGCACCCACAGCTCATGATGTTAGGTTATTGTGCACCCACAGCTCATGCTGTTAGGTTATTGTGCACCCGCAGCTCATGATGTTAGGTTATTGTGCACCTACAGCTCATGCTGTTAGGTTATTGTGCACCCACAGCTCATGCTGTTAGGTTATTGTGCACCCACAGCTCATGCTTTTAGGTTATTGTGCACCCAGCTCATGCTTTTAGGTTATTGTGCACCCACAGCTCATGATGTTAGGTTATTGTGCACCCACAGCTCATGCTGTTAGGTTATTGTGCACCCACAGCTCATGATGTTAGGTTATTGTGCACCTACAGCTCATGCTGTTAGGTTATTGTGCACCCACAGCTCATGCTGTTAGGTTATTGTGCACCCACAGCTCATGCTGTTAGATTATTGTGCACCCGCAGCTCATGATGTTAGGTTATTGTGCACCCACAGCTCATGCTGTTAGGTTATTGTGCACCCACAGCTCATGATGTTAGGTTATTGTGCACCCACAGCTCATGATGTTAGGTTATTGTGCACCCACAGCTCATGCTGTTAGGTTAATTTCAGTGTACAGATTTGGAACCAATGCTGCCTGCACATTTCATCTGTAGATTACTATAAATGATTATATCTTGCTCTCCAAGATAATTCTAACCTTTCAAGTAATTCAGATGCCTGAACTTAATCGCACATATCTCTATATTACTCCAGTACAATAACGTTAATGAGTAGCTTAAATTTTTCCTAGTTAAAAGTCATTGTTTTCTGCGACCCACTGAAAGATTGTGTTTGCATTGGCTTGAAGGTTTGCCGTCTTCTTGTGGCAACCCATGCTAACTGATGTTAGCATCGTCATCCTATTAACTGGTAAAGGACCAGTTAATAGGATGATTGTGATTTCTAACATGACAGAGCAGATCATTGTTAGTGTCTGCAAGGCTAGCACTTTTTTTGTGCGGGAAGTATCAGTGGCAGAGGACGTATGAACTAGATTTCTTCGAGGGGTATTAGTTTAGCGAAAAGTAAGTTTAATATCTGAAGGAAGGAGGCTGTTGTTAAGATTTAGGAGAGAGTGTGTGTGTGTGTGTGAGAGAGAGAGAGAGAAAGAGAGAGAGAGATTGCTTTACTGCCACCCTTGTTAAGTAGGGTTATATCAGTGGTTTTTAATGTGTCGACGAGGCTTGTCTCCAGACTTCGTGCTTATTTGAAATCAGTTCCTAATAAACCTTTTATTTAAAAAAATTTAAGACTATAAATCTCTATAAGTCTTAGTCAATGACAGTGCACGAAGATGCTATCAGTTACTTCGGAGTACAATAGGACTGAGACTTTGTCAAATTTTAGCGGTATGATATTGCCTTCAAGAAAAATTCATGTGGATTGTCTGTCTTTAATGTGCTTAATGTCTGACTCATCACTGAGTCATATTGTATCATGAACATCTTCCTAATTTCTTTGAAGTCATCAGCGAAAGTTCCAGCTTTCTTTAACAAGGGTCCAACACAGCAGGTGGTTTTGACCTCTGGTAAGTTTATTATTTTCTCTGGAATCGAAACCAGAGAATCTATTTTGTTTGTTGGTAACCTCCTTCTCATTTCACGTACAAAATAGTTATGGCAATATCTAAAAGAAAAAATCATATCATATTGTTCAGAGTACAAACAAAAATTACCATCCTGCCTGGTGACAATGACTTAAGTGTCATGATGTGTGTAGGAATCAAGAGTTTAATGTCGAGTGATCTGATTTGCCCATAATTATATGTGGATGTGAGTGGGGAAACTAACATCAACGACGGTTTCGAGATAGCCGAAAAAGCAGAAGATATGCAAGAATGGAGACAAGAAAGGGGGGAATGAGTAATGATGAGCATTTGGCAGCCATAACCGTTAAGTAGGAGGCCGCTAAAGTAGTATTACTTAGAGTATTGTGGTTTGCGAAGGACAAAGTATGTCCACTGAAAACAATACTGTACTTGGTAAAGTATTTACAGGTGACAGCGTTACGGATAAAGCAATGCTTGATGCCAAAGACGTATAGCAGGAAAGGAGAAAGGAGAGAACAGAGGAGGCATGGAATGTAGAGAATGGAGGAAGAAAAAATGCTAACACATAGTACCAATGCAGAAAAGTAACAGCCCCACTGAAACACAAACTAGAGTAAACTCCTCTTTCACAAGAGCAGCTGCAGTAAACTTGACATGAATATCTGATATTTTTCCCCCTTCCCTCTCACATTACCGCTTCTTTCCTTTGATTCTCTTTTCTGCCATGCTGTTTTCACCAATATCCTCAGTCCACCCTCCACTTTCCCTGTTCACACCTTCCCAGTTATTCCTACGACATTCATCCCCTCATCCCTCTTAATTACAGCAACTCTCATCCACTCTAATTTCCTTCAAATTTATTCGACCTATCTTGCCAATCAAACCCCACATCAGTCTAGTTCCTCCTTATCACCTTAAGGACAAGGCACCACCTTCGTCCACTACAACCTCCCCAAATCTCAACACAGAGATCCATATTCCCATTAAGGCCAAGAATCCTGCCACCTCTAGATTGCTCCCACAGGCCCTTCAACGCTAACTAGGATAAATGGAAGATGAATGCAGGTCTGGCACACAAATAAAGATGGATCTGCAAAAAGCTTCGAGATGGAGAGAGCATCGGTAACAGTCTTACAATCATTAAAAAGAGAAAAATAAAATTGATAAATACACGATTCCTTATCTCTCTCCTTACTACAGTAAGGAGAGATGACTGGAAGTGGTACTGTTAATGAGATACATGTGAAGTTATGAAGAGAAGACACACCTAGGTAAAGAAGACTTCAGAGACTATGCAATGAAGATATTAGGGAATAGAGTCTAAGACAGCTAAGGCAGTACTTCACCAAAAAATAGCTATGACAAGCATGAGAAAGATAACAGGACAGTGATACAAAAAAGGGCACTTGAACAAAGGTAGAGTACTGATTATGGGGTTATGGGAATTGAATCATATGGAAAATAGTGATAGAGCTTGTCACGGAAACTTTCTTGAGGCAACATATTAAAAACATCACAAGGATAAGAGGGAATGAACCAACAAAACTGGTCAAGATATGGATAAAAGTAGAAAATATGAAGCACAGAAAGAGGCCATGGTTTACAAAGACACAGAGAGGAGGAAAGTACAACAGTGAAGGGGCATAGAAAACACACAGAATAAGAGGACAACAGAAAAACAAGGATAACAAGGTAAGCAAAAATACACTTCAAAATATACATAGCAGTGAAGACCGAAGCAGATTGAAAACTTATACACAGCCACATAAAAGAGGACAAGAGACAAAATGAAGAATCTTTTAAAAAGACTTTCACCGACGAATCAGGAGAGATGCCAAGAAGAGGGAGAGAAAGTGGTTATAAGAATATCCAAACAAGGTAGAAAATAGGGTGTACCGACAAGTAGAAATTTTAGACACTTTTAAAAGGAAAAACCTTTATTTTTGCGACTTTTCAGTCACAATGTATTGTACGACGTTTCACCTGCAGTAGTGCTTGATAAGACCCACTTTGGGTGAAACGTTGAATGATGAAGGTTTTCCCTAGTATACGTGTCTTAAAATATCTAATACCCAAAGAACAGAAACCGGGGGATGCTGGAAAGAGGAGATATTAGAGTGGTAGTGGGTCACAGGTGAGTGCTTAAGGCTCAGTGTTTGAAATCTTGCTGTTCTTTACATACACAACCAGTCAGAAGAAATTAAATTCTACATATAAGTGTTTTGCAATGATGTAAAACTAGTGAGAAGAATAACAATTAAAGAGAACATTGAGATACACCAAGATGGCTTGAACAAGCTGCAGACATGGTCAGAGTTTTAGTTTAATATGTTTATTATGCACACCATACCCATCCTGTGGGCGGTAGTCACCCCATAACCATCCTGTGGGCGGTAGTCACCCCATACTCATCCTGTGGGTGGTAGTCAAAAGATTACAGAGGTACATAATGGGTCCAGGGACTGGACCCCAAAGTTATGATAGCTGAACTAGTTACAAAGGTAATGAACTCCAGGTAGATCTGGTCACAATCATGGCAAGTTACAAAGGTAATCAACCATGTACACTCCTATACATGGTTACAATCATGAACAAATTACAAAGTAATGAACCACTGACACATCCACACCCGGTCACAATTGTAATGAGTTATAAATACAAATGTTAAGTGGGTCATACATCCACACGAGCGCGCACACACTTTATTGACTTAAGACCTAGGGAGATTGACATAAGTCAGTCCATCTATCATCATTCCATCATGCAGGAGGAGCCACATGTCTATGGTGCATCTAACAAGATAAGCAGACTTTTGGACGTCACTACCGCCCGGCTCCGGCTGGGTTACAAGTATCTTTGGCAGGTTAAATCACCACCACCAGATGTAGACCAAACGAAATGTAAACTTTACCAGATGGACTATTGTCCATCTGTTTTAATTAAGTTCAGATCATTAAGAATAGGTGAAAAGGTGTGAAGAAATGAATCAGAGGCATCGAACAATGTAGTATGCATCTCTTACAGACATTTTACCG